ATATAGCCATGTGTCTAAATATGTCACAAAGGAAAGCATGTATTAATAGGGTGTTCCAAGCCACTCCCACAAAGGAGGCCACATCCACAGAGTAGGTTCGAACAATTTTTGAAACCCACCACTGGAAGCAATGGAATTAAAATATCCCTGGTTGGGAATGTCATTTTCTTGATTGTGATACAAAGTGACATGGTTGCACTTGACACCTAGATACTGAAAAAGAATAAACATTGTGCTGATTGATTTTATTTTTACTGTCAACTGTTGTAAAACTTTTCTACAGAATAAAAATGTGTAATATCTTAAAAACATCATCATTTACCTTTTGTATGCAATCAAGTTTTTCTTATGACTGTTTTCTTGCAGAGACTGAAAAGTGTTAAACAAATATATTTGATGTATTTAAAAGACAGCTTGCTGCTGAAAGGTTAAAATTTTAGTGACAGAGGATGAAGAGATGACATTCCCAATTGTGATTTCCTGAAGTAGAGAGTCAACAACTGAAACATATTTCTTTCTTTCCCAGAAACGGAAGGACAAATCTTATTGTCTTGGTCTTCACCGGACAGATAGGGATACAAGATCGGAACAGACATCATCAATTGCCTGGTCCTGAGCCCTTATCAGTTCTTTGTTTTTCTCTGCTTCTTTTGAGACCTTTTGTAAAAAGAAATTGATGAAGTACAATCAAAATTAACTTTTAATGCATTGTAAAATCTTGCTTAAAGAGGTTGTTCTAATTTCTTATTATCATGTACAATATTTATAATCTTCATTCTGTTTATAGCTTTCTGGAACTTTTCATATTGGTCCCTTAGTACCTCGTAGTCAATTACATTGTATTTACCTTTTGTTTGCAATCAGGTTTTGTGCACTCTTCTCTGGCAGAGACTGAAAAAGGTGAAACAAATATTTTAGAACGAAGTAGAGAGTCATCAATTTAAACATGTCTATTTCTCTCCCAAAGATGGAAAGACGAATCTTACTGTCTTGGTCCTCCCCTGATGGATAGGGATACCAGATCAGCACAGACATCATCAATGGCTGGTCCCGAGCCCTAACCAGTTGCTTATGACTTTCTGGAATTTTTCCTGTTGGTCCCTTAGGACCTCTCTGTCAGCATCTCTGGCAAAAAGATAATAGAAGAACTAGAACTTCTACAGTCAAACTTAAAAAGAAATAAATCACTTTTTTTTTCAAATGAAAACAATTAACAATTAAGTTAAAATGATACTCATTTTCTAGATTGTGTTTTGTTCTGTTCTCCAGCTCCTAATTCAACTTTACAAGGAGAGCCATTTTGCTGGATAAACGGTAGTTCTCTTCCAAGATGCAGAAATTACAAGAAGCAAACATCAGTCATATAATATAAATACATGGACAAAAAGAGGAGCTTAAAACAGCATTGTAAGGGAAATGAATGACTTACAGCTCTTATGGCCAGATTTTCTTCCTCCAGCTCCCTTTCATTCATCAATATCAGTTCTTCCCTCTGCTTCTTTTCTGTATTTTTATGGAAAAACACTTGTTCTCAAGTGTGCAGTCACCAGGTCTTAAGAACTCAGAAAACAAACACGCTCTGGAAACGGTTGGTAACGTTTTATTCAAACCTGAGGCCTGGCACAAATGACAGTTGCAAAGTCAGCACTGGTAGTTACTGCCTCCCCGTGTTCTATATATAGGCAAGACCACGCCCCATTCCCCCCACTAGCAATTGACGTCAGCATTCCGTTTCTCATTAGCAGTCCACCATCCAGTGCCTGTGCTTCCGGTCTCTGTCTGGCCTCCAACCTCCAATCAATCGGTTTCGATTTTCCCGCTTTCCCCCACCAGGTATGGTGGGGCTTGACACTTGTGCTATTAATATTCACAAAAGACATTACATATTAACCCAACAACAACAATGAAATGTATGACTGGCCATTAAATAGGAAGGATCAGCTGTGATGCAGAGGAAGTATTGCCTCTGTATACCCACACCTACTACAGATTCTCACACAAACAAAATAGTTGGGCTCTTTAATGTCTGTATTTCTGCAGACAGAAATATTTCTTTTTCAGTACTTCATACTCCCTTTCTTCTCTGTCAGCAACTCCTGGCAAAAAAATAACAAAAGAACTAGAATTTGTACAGTCAAACTTAAGATAAAATAAATCACATTTCTTTTTAGAATGAAAACAATTAAAAAGTTAAGTTAAAATGATATTCACTTTCTGGATTGCTTTCCGTTTTCTTCTGCAGTTCCTTATTCTCCCTCATAAGGAAAGCAATTTCACTGGCTAAATGCTTGTTCTCTTCCAACTAAGATGCAGAAATTACAAGAAGCAAACACCAGTCATATAATATAAACACGTGGACAAAAACAGGAAGGGAAATGAATGACTTACAGCTCTTATGGCGAGATCTTTTTCTGTTAAGATCCCTTTCATGCAGTAATGTCATTTGCTTCTTCTGCTCCTTTTCTGTATTCTTATGGAAAAACACTTGTGCTATTAAACAATATTCACAAAAAACATTATATATGAACCCACCAACAACACATAAATTTAAGTCTGGTGATTACAAATGGCACAGTCCATTTAAATCGTAATGTCAGTGCAGGGAAACACTTCTTTTTGCATCCTTTCCCCATTAACTTAAATAGAGTTCAGAACCTCTCCCAAAGACAGTAATTCTGAAGGGTGCTGGCTATTTTCTCATGAAGGTCTTTTAAAAATCAGGAAGAGTTAACTGTGATAGGAAGGATTGTCTTTCTATCCCCACTTCTGCTGCAGGTTCTCACACAGACAAAATATTTGGTTTCTCACTTTGGTCTCTTTGTCTTTGTCTGTATTTCTGGACGCAGACCTGCCAAAAGAAGGCATTTTGAACACCTGAGGACAAACCAACTGGAGGTGGTGAATTGACTAAGTAATATAAATCATAGTGTTGATGTCAGGTTCCAAAAAGGCAAAAAAAACTCCAAACACAAACCTGGTTTGATGTCAGGTTCCAAAAAGGCAGAAAAAACTCCAAACACAAACCTGGTTTGTTAATTCTTTTTTACTGCCCTTCTGGCACAAACTGACAATCACAGGAATCAAACCGCAATGAATCCCTTGTTAGGGCTAATTGCCCAGTGCTCCCCACCACCTTTTAACTACTCCTCACTGCCCCACCCACTCCAGCTATGTGACACGGAAGTGCAAAGGTGCATATATCAGCCTCCCAGCTAGGCCAGCCGCCATAGCCTCTGAACATTAGTTTGTTCAGTAACCATGTCCTTGCCCAACTCCCAGTTGGGCTGGCAACTGCATATTGAGAGCGTCGGGCCCAAATGGCAGCTCCGGGATGGCCGGCACACCAGAGCTGACATGGGATGTAATCCACACCTTCTAGAGTCATATCCAGTTACAATGTCCTTTGGCTGCATTCTAACAAGCTCCCCTATAAAAATCTGCTGCTGTACTTCATTTTTTGGTAGCTGCCCCTAAAGGCAAACTGTTTGCTTTTAGGAATAAATATTTTTTCTTTCCTCATGCCTGTCTGAATCTCATTTTTATTTATTCTTGTGCAGTCCCGGCTCGAGTTGAAACCCCAAATTATTATTCTGAAAATATGGCAACCACAAAGGGACTCAAGACTAACCTAGCCATCAGATCTAGTCTGAATAAATTCGGGTTCTGCTCTCAGGCTCACATCTAAAAAAGATCCTCTTGAGTGAGGCGTTCCATTAAAAAAAACAGTTAGGTGGGAGGAGGTGCCCATACTGCTCCAAATATAGCAGTCCTCCCAAGCGAAAGGTTTGAAAACTTAATGGCAGGTAAAGATAGGGGAGCTGTGTATCTCACTTAGGAGGTCTCCTGGGTGTATGCATACACCCCAAACCAATAGGGACACACGTGTCAGGTAGGGACAAGAAAAAGAGAACTTTGGCTTCACATTTTTCCCCAACCTCTCCATTAGGAAGGTTTCTGGATGCCCAGTTTAGACAGGAATAAAAAAGCAAAATCCTACAGGATTTATTTTTTAAAAAGTAGACTAAGATATGGGATGAGACTAGTAGTTTAATTTGACTAAACAAATGTACTTTCAATTGTAATAAAAGAAAAAGTAAAGAAAAAAAGCCTTAAAAGGATTATTTTCTTTCAAAGTTAAGTTGTTATTGAGTAAATGAATGTTTCTATAAGTTTAAATTGAAAGAGAATGTTTTACTATCATTGTGTATGTATGCATATTGTAATTTTATGT